CCTTTCCCTTCTTTTCACACCCATCGCCCAAGATCTACATTCAGTGTCCACACGTGGTGTTGCCTTTCCCTTCTTTCCACACCCATCGCCCAAGATCTCCGACGCGTGGTGTGTCAAGTATATTGACGGCGCTGCGAGAGCTACCGTCGGACTCGACAGGGCAGCACGTTGAACATAGAAGGCCCCCCTGAACCAACCCCGCTTCCCACTCAGGAAACTGCCAGTCGCATCGCTCTTCTACCTTCTCTATGGCCGTATTCTTGGCCTCTGGTGTGCAGACGGGCACCCAGAAGGAAGTCTTCTTCACATCCTCTTGCTTGGTCTTGAGGTCTCTGTGGATTACTTTCGAAAGTTGCTGAACGCCGGTGTGGGTAGGAGACCAGCCACAGGGAGAGCGTGCACAAGAATCGGTGAGCCGAGTTTCAGACTGATTCTGGACAATCAACGACAGGAAGGTGCCACGGACAAACCTGCTTGATATATCTCTGGCGATTCTCCTCCTGAGGGTTTTGCTCATGCTCTGGCAGGGACGAAGGTTATACAAAGACCACAATCAGCAATCATTCATTTACCCATTCTGAACCTCAAAACTTGTCCTTCGCACACTACCTTGCCGCGGAGCTGCCTCCTCAAAGGTCGACGTCTGCCTCTCCACGAAGCGGTGCACATCCTTTTCCTTTTCCTCGTTCAAGGCCGCCTCCATTCTCTCCTGCTCTTCTTCTCTTTGTTGCTAAAGCAATTGCGATGGGAAGACGGGGGTGAGAAATGGAACAGGATGACCTGGGGCATTCGACAGATTAAAAGAAAGTCGCCCATGAAGGGCAGCATACGCACCTCATACAGGACGCGCTGGCGCTTGAGGTCTTGCGTCTTAGATAATAGATACTCGACAATGGCCTCTCGCGAATAAATATGACCTGACGGGCTGCAAATAAAGTGTGTGAATAAAGATTGAAGGTAGATTTCATGACATTTCAAGCGATTTTCTGGACGGGCGTTTTCTTCCGAGGATTCGTACCTGACAACCGGATCTGTCACGGGCTTTAACGTCAAACAACAGTAGCCAAATGGCTGCTGCGAGTCTGTCCCAATACGAGTTTTTTGGGTTCCCCACCTAAGATGTCGTCCAAAATGACGAGGCAGTGGATCGTGAATGTATACGTGCTACTACGCATCCCTTGTTCCCACTGCCTGAAGGACCTCGATGAAGGCAACAAAGAAAGTTATTTCAAAGGATTTATCTACTCCCCACATCGACATTTTTCTCCTCCTGCCGCTATGAATAGACAAAAAGATATCGTTTTGATTTGCTTACCCAGCCATTTTGCGTTCCTGGTACGTGAAAGTCGCCCGGTCCGTGTTGTTGCGGGAGTGTTTCTGAGGCATGCTTTCGGTTGGTGTGAGAGACTCTCCGAGCAAGCAAAGCTGTGTAATAGGTGGGAGACCTAGCGTCACAGAATGTCTATTCTCAATATAGGGAAAATTCGCCACGAATGGAGGCGTCAGAGTGAAGGGAGACTATTTACGTCGTCGTGGAGTCCAGGCGGCGGCCAGCTAGCCGCCTGTCCGGGTAGCTTTTGCTTGCTTGCTTGAAATCAAAAACATTGTCGTCGACCAAGGAGCAAGCACGATGTAAACTTTAAGCATTGTTTTTATTGTACCATGAATGTACGATACATCGTCTTTATTCAAACGTAGATATGTAATTCTGATATATGTATAAGATGAACACGTCATCTTCACGTGTCTGTGCAATTTTCACCTAAGCCCCTTGCCCTCCTGTTTCCATCGTAGCTTTTCCCCTCTCTTTTTCCTTGACAAAATCGCCCGCCGTTTTTGCCTTCCTCCCTTGTATTCCTTTCGGCAATGTCCAATGCGCCTTGCTAGCATTCTTACAAGCTTTAATTTTTCTGAGCTTGCTTTCCATGCTGTTCGGCATCAAATCATGCCGTGCGATCACCCCACAAACATCTCGCTCTATGCTCAGCACAAGTAAGTGTCTAAGCCCTAAGCCCCGGAAGAGACGGTAGACTTTCGTGACACTCGAATCCTCTGTCACGAAATAGACACTGGGATTGCTGTAAGGTCGCAAGTCCATCCATTTGCTTTCATCCTCCGGGGTGAGGGGAATGACGGGTTGGGCAATGACACGGCTACTGAGGCGGGCAGCCGACTCGAGGAGTTGCGCAAAATCAAGAACAGGCGAGGCAAGCTCAGGATTGTCTGGATCATTGTTGACTGAGGCCGTGGAGGAGAAGTTAGCCGCTTGCAGCAAGACCACGAGTGTCTCCCGCATAATCGTGCCGAAAAGGGCGCCGGATCGGGTCGGGTGTGAGGAAGGATAGAGGAGCGGGAACATGTTATGCCCTGTGGTGCACAAAACCTCTTGCACGCGCTTGACCGTCTCGATAGGTCTGAGCGAGACGACTTGAGGGGTCATCAAGTCGCGCGCGCGGAGCTGAGCCAACGCCCACTTGGGCGGGTCGGGGCGGAGGAAGGGGTAGCCCTTGATCTCGATGATCATGTCGTAGATAGAGGGCGTGAAAAGATCCCCAACCCAGTGAGCGCTGAGGAGTACCAAGGCGAAGGGGAGGAGGAAGAACAGGTTGCCCGTGGCCTCAAGCATGATGACGGTCATGGAAGGCACCATGCGCGTGATCCCGCCCACGAAGGCGGCACTCCCCATGATGGCGAAAACACGGACCTGACCCAGATAGGTGGGGTGCCCGAAGACCACGACAACCTGTCCTGCCATCCGGCCCAGGGCCGCCCCCAGGAGGAGCTGCGGCACGAAAAAGCCGGAGGGGACTGACACGCCGAACGCGAGGACCAAGAAGAGAAAGTAGGGGCCGGCGAACAAGGCCAGGGCATGCAGGGAGAACATGGGTTTGCCGTCGCTCAAATTGAGGCGAGGCAAGTGAAAGAGGAGGCGGAGGGCAGATACCCCGTCATTCAGATATAGGGAGGCCACCTCGTTGTAGTGCCCGGGCGCGCAGGTGAGGGGCAGAAGCTTATCCAAGTAGGGAACAACGTATGCTGCGTCTTCGTAGAATGAGGGTTCCGCTGGCGGAACCGGTCGACAGGCCCAGCTCTCGCTTAAGAAAGAGGCGAGGAAGCCCACTGTGGAGACGATGACCGTCACGCCCAGCACCTCCATGAAGCGCCGAGGCCAGGTGCAAACGTAGGAATGGCGGAGACGGCTCATGTGCCAGTGCAGGGCGTTGAAGGCAGCGCCTAGTATCCCCCCGAGCACCCCCATGCCGACGAAAAGCAGCAAATCTTCGTTGGCGACGCGAATGCCTGTGGAGAATGAGCCGGCGTAGGACTGCATGTAGGAGGGATCGACGAGAGAGGCGCCCGCGGGCCCCATCCGGGACCCCGCTAGCAGGTAGGTGAACAAGAGAGTGCCTGTCGCGCAAAAAAATACGCGCCACGTCACCTTGAGACTCCAATACGAAGAACCTTCCTCCCATGCCAGCAGAAGCCCGCCAATAGGGGCCGCAAAGGCTGCCGTAACGCCAGCGGCCGCCCCAGCGACAACCAGATCGCGCCTCTCGGAGTGATTTGAGAAAACGCGCGCCGCCTCGAGCAGCCGATCCACAGGCCGAATCAAACGCGCGCGCCTGCTTGTGCAGGCAGCTACAATGCTACCAATGTGGATCATGGGGCCATATTTTCCCACTGGCAGCCCGGCGGCTACGGCAAATATTGTCCCGAACACCTTCGCGGTGAGCGTGCTAAGGCTGTAAAGTGGTAGTTAAAAATTAGAACCAGAGATTAGCAACAAGAAATTCGCAGACAATTGATGTCAACGATGCTATCTGATCCTCTGATCAGCGTCAGAATGTTGAGAAGTTCCCTCTTAAGGGAAAATTATTGATACAGGGCGACATGGACGCAACGCTTAGCAGACACTCCGGTGTATCGAAACACAAACAAGACAGAGATCTCACACAATGCTATTAGCATCTAAGACCCAAAAAATATAGAGGTAGGCGTACTGACCTTTGGATATCGGGTATACGGATGCCGTTCAAAAATGCTTTGGTTTCTGGAATGCCCGAACCGGCAGACGCGGGCACCAAGTACACCATCAAAAATGCAATGATGGCATACAGGCAAGATAGAATTAGCTTTATAACATATTTGCTCCAGCCAGACTGGAACTGAAGAGTAAAGGTCGTTCTAAAGGTAACCAATGTGGCCGACGAGTACGAAATGAAAAGGTACAGCGTCTCTATGACGATGGCTATGAAGAAAATTACCAACCACCGGAGGAGAGAGCGTTTTCGAGTCTGCCATCGTAAAATTTTGTTTCCAACCTCTTGGAGGTTCCCGTCTTGCTCATCCTCAATGCCTGAAGAGGTAGTCTCATCACGCATGTGAGAGTGGCAATTCGTCCGCTGCTCTAGCTCGTACAACCGCGCCACCTCACTTTCATGCGCTTCATAGTTTTGCGAGCTTATGCTGGGGACTTTTTTCAAAGGCCATGCCTTGCTCTGAGTTTCGTGGGGTAGACCTGTACTAGTCCAGCTGCGGGGCCGGAGGCGAGTCGTTGAGGATGAACAGGTAACATCTTTGCCCAGATTCGACTCGACTGGCTGTCCTTCCTTTACCACATTTTCTCTGCCAGTCCCGGTATAAGCTTTATCCTTTGCTAAGGCTCCATCCATGCCTGTTTTTTAAATTAAGATTTGTGTCAAGGTGCGACGGAAATTAAGAGAAAACGTGCCTGTACACATGGGCCCAAAATGCGACAAGACATGCAACCCGTCGGTCCCAAAGTCATTTTCATCAAAAAAAATCTTCATCCGCGTATCATATCAGGTAACGACAAATTTTAAGTTACTATATAAATCAGCACTCCACTCTACTTATCAAAAATGGTCAGTAAAAGACCTTTACCTGCGTCAAGGCGGCGGTTGTCCGGGTAGCAAACGATCGCGTGGCGAGTCGCCACTGGCAACCTCCTGGCCAGAACGTTGTAGCCCATTTGTCACTCAGATCTCTGTTTTACTATCAGGGACGCGTTTTTGCAAGAAAACCGAAAGAAAAATACGGAATATGAAACGAAAAATGGCCACCACAAGAGAGAGTATTGTCGAGAAGTGAGTGACGCACACATAAATACTCGCCCAAAGCGTGCTCAGAGACGACTATACGAGCGACTTTGTATCCTAGGGCTTGAAATAAGATAAATTGTCCACAGATGGGAAGCAGCAGTAAGACGCATGAGATATTCCCGCAAGAATTTCAAGATTTGTCGAGGCCTTAATGTTCTAAATGGCATCGGTAAGCGCAATAAACATAGACCACAAGACTCATCCAGAAAAGGTCAGGAGTAGGACTTCATAATATTGAAATATGACGGAACGAGCAGATGTGCTGATATATGTTTGAAGTAGAGGAAAGGTCTGGGATAGGAGCAGCATGGGGAAGAAGGAAGTAGGACAGAAGAACAGCTCTACTGGTAGTCTAGTCGGCGGTAGAGAAGAGAGAGGGGTTGAACGTTTTCGAAGAGAGAATCCTTTGCATAGAAACTTGACATACTTGCGAGCTTTCATCGCTCTTTTTTTCCTTCTCCCTTTCATTGTGGCTCTTTCCATCCCCCGTGCTCGCGTATTTATTCATGCTCTTCATCTCTCATTCATTCCTCCTTCCAGATTACGTGCGGCGGTGCGCATCGGTCGCACAATTTCTCGAAAAAAAAGAAAATGTGCGAGGGAGGAAGAGACGGAGAGATGAAGGAATGCCGGCACATATTTCTCCGGTGTTCTCTGTAGGGATGCCGCGACCGACCCGACATCGAGGCAGCTAGCCATCCCTATCTTCTTCAGTAGTATAAAGGGAGCGATAAAAGAATTGAAGGTCAGATCTTCTTACGAAGGACTTGCATCCTTTCCTCTTTAATCGTGAATATTCTTAAGTCGGTCATTTCTTTGCCCTACCCTGCCTCCATTTAATCATCGCCCGATTCCTTTCCCCCTTTCTCCTGCCCGTCCTTCCATCCTCCCTCCCTCCCTTATCCCTTCCCCTGTCTCGAGCTTACCTCTGTGCTCGTCTCTTGCTCTTCCCCTCTCACACCTTCCACCGTGATTTCCCTCTTCTTGTCCTCTCTCCTCGCTTCTCCTGTTTCTCCTCTATTCTTCCGTCCATGAAACAACCCACGGTGCGTCCTCCTTCCCCTATCCACGTCGTCCTCTTTCCTCACACTGTCCAAGTAAAGGGTAGACTCACCTATGGATGGTGCGATCCATGGAGCGATGTCCGACTATTCTCCGAGGACTCTTCATCCGGTGCACACTTTAGCGGGACGATAATCTTTGGGCACCTTCATACGTGTCGATGGGCCATTATCTAGTTATTCTTCACTCTTGGGTTGTAATTTTATCGATGTCAATACTCGGGACGTTCTCCTTTATGAGTTGGTTCGGAAGCCACCGAGAATCATTCCGCGACGAAGTGTTACAGTTCTCGTGGTTTTGATTTATTGTTGATGTGCATTTTCCAAGATGTTTCCAAGATGGTAAGTTGTGCGCGATGCTCATTCACAAAATGAGAAGGTAAGTCTGCGCTCAACGAATCTCGTTTTTTCTTAGCTCTCATCAAAACGCTACAACAGTGAGCTGACATCCTCTGGTCCTTCCGCCAGAAAAGTTGCACTTATGCAAAATACCTAAGAATGTGGACATCTTTAAATCTCACCGGCAAACTGCACCGTCCTCGACAGGTAAGGACTCCCCCAGACCTCTTTGCAGTCTCACTACCATTATAGTGAGGGCGATTACTGCTTTTACTGGAGGAGCAATACCGATAAAGCACTGTACTATAAAGTTGTATGCTGAACCGAAGTCTCAAAAAGCATTGGTTTCTGATTCGCCGGTATGTTTTCATATATCCGAAGTGTCCAGCCAAGGAGCTGGTATGATACGATTTGAGGATGAGGTCCTTCAGTGATTGAGGAGCTAGCAGGTCGTTCCCGTGACTCGTATGAAAGCCACCGAGGTATATCAGCACTCCGTCGACGTCACGTAGAATGTACCTTTTCTGTGTCTGCGTCGAACCGAACGAGCGCTTTGGGATCGTCGGATAGTCGTGTTGCGATTGTTTTGCTTTCCATATATTCTATAAACTCTCCCAGTTGTTTGTCCTGTCGCTATTCGGCGAAAAGGTCCAATGTCCAATTCCAATCCGGCGCATATTAATCTGGGTTTTTCTCGTGCACGTCGTCGGGATTGGCGGTTCCGGCCTTCATATTTGCCATGAACAAACCATTTTATTTCCTCTGGCGGATTCCAGGGCGTCCATGATAATACGTCGGCGTTCACATTGAGTTTACCTTTCCGATAGGCGACTGCAAAGTCTTATTTCTTGGACTTCGATGCGCACTGCCCACACGATTGCGAACACTTCCAGCTGGGTTGGGCTACATTGTCTTACTGCGCGGTTGAGTGACCGACTAGCGTAGCAAATTACTCGATCCGTTCCATGATCATCGTTTGTTCCGAGATGGCACCGACTCTATATTTGCTGGCGTCTGTGTAAAGGGTGTGCCCCTTGTTTAGTTCTTGAAAGGCCAAGACGGGAGGTGGTGTGAGTGCCGCCTTTAAGTTCTCGAAGGCCCGGTTTTGATCCTCGTTCCATTCCCACCGCTGTGTCTTGCAAAGAAGCTTTGTCTATGGTCCGGCGATTGTGGGAAAACCTTTGACGAATCTTCGATAATACGAGCATAATGATAAAAAGGATCTGACATCGCGGACTCCTCGCGGGACTGGGAAATCCACTACTGCCAAAATGGTTTCGGGGTTTGGTTTGATGCCTTCTGGCGATACGATAAAACCTAAAAAATTGGTTTCGGCACGCGCAAATTTGCACTTGGAAGGGTAGGCTGTCAATCCTGCGTCGAAGAGCCGATGCAGCGTGGTTGCGACGTCTTTGATATGTTGCTCGGCCGTGCTACTGAAAACTAGGATGTCGTCAAAGAAAACTGCTAACTTGCTCTGAGGGGTGACCCGACCGCTTTTTACGGTGGTAGCAGCGGGTGAAATTGCGGTCGGACGCAAGCGCAGAATATGTGCCGCGTGCAAACGATCCAAATAAGGGAACATACGAAAACCTCGGGTTTCCTTCGTACCCTCCCTCATTTGGATCGTTTCTTGGCTTCTAAGTACATACATGGAAGCTGATTTTGAAATGACGGCGATACTTGCAAATTAGAATGGTTTTCTGAGAAGGTCACAAGTGGAATGTGTGTAGCATCTATTTCAGGATCCCAATCGTATCAACATATTGTATTTTTGATGATTAAGTATGTTTTGGAATCAAAATGAGGCCCCATTGGTAGAAAAAGGGGCTGCAAAGCATTCCGTGTGAGTTTCACGTGTGTATTTTTAAACGGTCGCTTTGCAACGGACGCTTTAAAGCATGGCTTCTAATCGACAAGTAAAACCGCTGTTAAGGTGCTCCCTGACACTTGGGCATGCTTCTCAATCACTTCCGTGTCCCTGTAGAGCATATTGATTCTTGCTTGAAATACATCATAATTGTGCATTCCTATGCGTGCAGTCGAGAAAGGCGTGTCTTCAGATTATTTCCTATTTCCCTTGCACGCGCACAGCCTGCAGAGCCTCCCTACGCCCTGTGTAAATGTCGTCAAACACTCCTGGTGATCTTTTGCTAGCTTGCTAGTTTATGAATTGCCAGTAAGCAGTTAGGCCTCATGTCCCATTCAATTCACATACATGGTTGTGTATCTAGATAAGAACTTATTCGAGGGAGGAAGAAGCATGCTAGCCAAGACTTGGGACTTGCATGTAAATTTGATCCACGCCATATCTCACCGCTCTTTCGTATGTACTACAGTGTAGGATCTTACTCGATCTTCTTTGCATCATGCGCAGCACACTTTCTTTGCTTGCCCTTGGCATTACCCTCGGTAGTACCCTCGTTACGACCGCTGGTCAAGACCTCAATCTCAAGTCGATTCGCGCTGTCGATAGATCCGTCACAAACAAGGACACATGGAAAATGAAGGGTAGCATCAGTGATCCTTCTCTGACCATTGTTTCGGCGATTCGCCAGACGGGACTGACCGTCGAATTGCAAGACGCCGCTACTGATCCCTTGAACACTGTAACTTTTGCAGCGAGCGATTGTCGTGTACCCGCGCATGGAAGGAGGGCAGCCTGCAAAATTAGAGGAGCTCGCGTGTCGATTAAGACATCCAGACGCCCGAAGATTAAAACGCCCAAGACTGTGCACGCGAAAAGCTACAACTCAACTGGTGGTTACTACAGTGTGACCGGAACTTTTCGAGGATTGACGTTCCTCGAGAACCCAGTGGTGTCTCCTCTTGCAGCCGCGCTAAGAGTAAACGGAAGTGTGCTGTCAGACACTCTCACCTCATGCTATGATCTTGCTCGAAAGAGTGGCAGGAACACGATTACTCACTGTGAGCCTGGGCCTCTTGTTCCTACTCCGACCTGGACGGAGCAAACCGCCGCTGGTGTCCGTGACTGGAACTCGATCGCGTCCTCGTCGGATGGCACGGTACGTGTTTCGATGCAGGCCATAACGCAAGGTGCACGATGCCCCTGTCCTCGATGGTGGTTGCATCGTGTGAGCATGTCTGGTGAAGGGTCGCCATGCGATGCTCGATCTGACGCATCTTGGTCGACCACCCATCCCATCATGCACAGAAGCTTGCCGCCGTAGTTTCCGTGGGTGAGGTTGCGGAGGGCTCTATCTGGACGTCGAGCGACGCGGGCGTCACCTGGATGGAGCAAACCGCCGCTGGTGATGATTTTCCTAACTGGGTATCAATCACGTCCTCGTCGGATGGCACGGTACGTGTTTGAAGGCAGGCCATGACGCAAGGTGCACCATGCCGCTGTCCTCTATGGTGGCCGCATCATGTGTGCATGTCTCGTCGAGGGTCACAATGCCATGATTCATCTGACGCATCCTGGTCGACTACCCATCCAATCATGCACAGAACCTTGCCGCTGTGGTTCGGTTTGGCTCCATCTGGACGTCGACCGACGCGGGTGTCACCTGGACGGAGCAATTAGACGATGAACGACTTTTCTGGAATTCGATCGCGTCCTCGTCGGATGGCACGGTACGTGTTTGGATGCAGGCACCTACACAAGGTGCACGATGCCCCTGTCCTCGATGGTGGTCCCATCGTGTGTGCATGTCTGATGAAGGGTCGCCATGCGATGCTTGATCTGACGCATCCTGATCGACTACCCATCCCATCATGCACAGAAGCTTGCCGCCGTGTGTGACGACTCAGGGGGAACTCAGGGCTCAATCTGGACGTCGACCGACGCGGGCGCCAACTGGACGGAGCAAACCGCCGCTGGTGACCGTAATTGGATATCAATCGCGTCCTCGTCGGATGGCACGGTACGTGTTTGGCTGCAGGCCATTTCGCAAGGTGTACCATGCCCCTGTTCTCGATGGTGGTCCCATCGTGTGTGCATGTCAGGTGAAGCGTCGCCATGCGATGCTCGATCTGACGCATCCTTGACGACTACCCATGCCATATTGCACAGAAACTTGCCGCCGTGGTGAATGGAGGCTCCATCTGGACGTCGACCGACACGGGTGTCACCTGGACGGAGCAACAGCAACCAGACGGTGATTTCCGTCTGTGGTATTCGATCGCGTCCTCGTCGGATGGCACGGTACGTGTTTGGCTGCAGGCCATTTCCCAAGGTGTACCATGCCCCTAATCTCGATGGTGGTTGCATCGTATGTGCATGTCAGGTGAAGCGTCGCCATGCGATGCTCGATCTGACGCATCCTTGACGACTACCCATGCCATATTGCACAGAAACTTGCCGCCGTGGTGAATGGAGGCTCCATCTGGACGTCGACCGACGCGGGCGCCACTTGGACAGAGCGATTAGACGATGAAGGACGAAGGTGGTATTCGATCGCGTCCTCCTTGGATGGCACGGTGCGTGTTTGGAGGCAGGCCAGTCGGAAGGTGCTTCATGCCTTTCACGTCGATGGTGGTTGCATCGTGTGTGCATGTCTCGTCCACGGTCGCCTTGCGATGCTCGATCTGACGCATCCTGGTCGACTTCCCATCCCCTCATGCACAGAAACTTGCCGCCGTGGTGGATGGCGGCTCTATCTGGACGTCGAGCAACGCGGGCGTCACCTGGACAGAGCAAACCGCCGCTGGTTCACGTAACTGGTGGTCGATCGCGTCCTCCTCGGATGGCACGGTACGTGGTTGGATGCAGGCCATTACACAAGATGCTTCATGCCCCTGTCGTCGATGGTGGTTGCACCGGGTGCGCGTGTCTCGTCAAACGTCGTCATGCCATGCTCGATCTGACCCATCCTAATCGACTATCCATCACATCATGCACAGAAGCTTGCCGCCGTGGTGTTTGGAGGCTCCATCTGGACCTTCGGCTAGGTGTGTACATTGGGCTGGCGGAAAATTTGGGAACCAAGTACTTTCTCATCTTTATAGAAAGAATTCCAGAGTCCAAAAAGTACCGTCGGATTACAACAGAATTTTCATGAAATTACAAGGGCAAGGAGAAAGCCTTTAAATCTTGCTACTTGAAAAATATCGGTATCATAGTGCCAACTCAATTGTGAGTGTGCTCGAGTACATAGGAAGAAAGATACGCTCGTGCTAGTTACTGGGGCAGAATTATTAAAAATCAACTTCAATATTTCTCCAAGCCAGAAGCGATTGGATCTTTTTTTCCTCCAGAAGGGTTACTGGATTTTTTCTCCCTCTCTGCGAGAGAGATTCAGATTAGGGTTAGTGGGCATCGTGTGAAGAGAAGGATGCTAAAGTGTTCCTCAATGGATAAAGTGCCCTGATCAAGCGGCGAGCCTTGGTTGGCCAGTATGAAAGTGGGGTGAAAGTGGGGTGAAAGTAGGCAGAATTATTAAAAATCAACTTCAATATCTCTCCAAGCCAGAAGGGATTGGATCTTTCTTTCCTCCAGAAGGGACTGGATTTTTTCTCCCTCTCTGCGAGAGAGATTCAGGTTAGGGTTAGTGGGCATCGTGTGAAGAGAAGGATGCTACAGTGTTCCTCAATAGGTAAAATGCCCTGAATTGTCTGTCAAAACATTTTTCGAAACAAGTCGACGTCAAGGAATGCGCGGGCGTCTCCTGGACGGAGCGATTAGACGATGAATAACACTTCTGGCGGTCGCTCGAAATACAGCAAAAGTAGTCTGACGTGCTCACAAGCTCACACGACCCCAAAAGAGAGAACAAGAATCATTCTCATACAGACAACTGTTTCCATTTATACGGAGTTGATGACGAGATTTCTACACTCGTGGATTATCTGTACTTTGCAGGTACGCCAGTCCAGGTTCGTTTGTATGGCACATGTCACTGATTTACAGGGAGCCTACAATTTGGTGACAGGTTTTCTCCATAGTTATATCATTTTATAAGTTTGGAGATACGTTGCAATAAATTATGGAGGAACTGAAAACAAAGAGCTTTCCAGCTTGTAAGTATAGACACAGAGGCTGATTTTGAAATGACGGCGATACTTGCAAATTAGAATGGTTTTCTGAGAAGTTCACAAGTGGAATGTGTGTAGCATCTATTTCAGGATCCCAATCATATCAACAGATTATATTTTTGATGATTAAGTATGTTTTGGGACCTAAATGAGGCCCCACTGGTAGAAAAAGGGGCTGCAAAGCATTCCGTGTGTGTTTCACGTGTTTATTTTTAAACGGTCGCCTT